CAGTTTGAGGGTCCTTTATAAACAAGAACGCTGACCTCTCTGCTCAGCCCTCAGGCGGGACTCTGGGCTTCAGCTCCAACCAACCAAAAGAAGTAAGGAGATGATGATCACAACATATGTACAAGTGTGTTTGATACATTGATGTATGGATTGTTATAAAAGCTGTAAGAGCCCCCAATAAAATGATTTATTAATAGAAATAAAAGAGAGAAATAGGTGGCAAACATGGCCAGCTTTAAATGCATGATCACAGGGTCTTTTTTATGAAATGTTTAAAGTTCTTAATTCACACCTCTTTTGTTATTATCACCACTGCAGACACTTTTGTTTTCATATTTGACATTTTATAACTTTGCCTTTCATTTGACCTCACACCAGAGCATTTAAATCTTAAAAGAAAAAAATGCATCCTGAACCAGTTCTCTCATTTTCAAACTAGCTGTCTGGTATCCATTCCGGCTCCGGAGATGTTTGTTGAGTGAATAAACAACTGAACTGATTCCCAGGAAAGAAATTCAGAACATCTTTACTTTCATTAAAGCTATTTTTCCTAAGTTCTGAGTTATCATTTATAGTATTGTCCATGCATTTAAAACGGAAATCGGCAAAACTGATTTGTCGTTTGAAAACACTCAAGCCAAAAATTGGTCTGAATTGGAATGTTCACTTTTCTCTTCAATCTATTACAGTGTTTTTAATAATCCGATTCAATGATTTAAAAACAAGGCGGGGCCAGCAGCTAGAAGGTGCCCATACCTATCCAGGTGCCTGGGCCACGAGGCTGCCTCGGGGCCCGCGAGCCCAGGGCGCAGGGCAAACTAGGATCTGCGAGATGCGATGCGCTTGCGGCCAACAGGGCCCAAGGCCTCCGGTCGGGCGAGACTCACGCGCCGACCCTAGGGGCGGCGGAGCCGGGGGTCCCCAGACTCGGTGCAAGGGCCCGGCGCGCAGGTGTCCGGTCTGTGCGCAGGGTGCGCCGGGGGGTGGTGGGGTGAGCAGGGCCTGGGAGCCCCGAGAGGGACGTGATTGTTACACTGTAACGAGTCTGATTAACATGCTCCTGACACTTTCTCTTAGTCTCGCAGGCTCCTAGCAACCGCGCACAAAGGCTCCGGATTGTCCCGGGCTCCGCGGGGACACGGGGCAGCCTTTGATCTGCCACCATTACAGCCCGGCTGAGCGACAGGCTCGCAGGCTCCGGGCGCCCCGAGGCGGGCGGGCGGGCGGGC